AATAGATACTAATCTCATACTAATGTCTAAAATTTTTAATGGATTATTCAGCATTGGGATTATTGGAAATCTTATCTAATAATTGATAAATGGTCAGAACTAACCAGAGTCTGGAACCGTAATAGCCAGGTGAATTGAATTAACAGAAGCACAGTACCACCCTCTATATCAACAGTTAGTCACTTTTTCCTTCAATGGTTCACAGGCAAATACTTAAAGCTTTGGGGGTTTTCTTCTCTGTGTTAACAACTCAACTCTGACAAAAGCACCCATAGATTATCTGTAAACAAATGGAGGGGCTTTGTTCCAATAAAACTTGATTTACATAAACAGGTGCTTGCTCAAATTGGGCTCAGGGACAGTACTTTGTGAATTCTTGTTCTAGATCTACAAGCTAACTTAGTTAAGCTGATTGAAAATTAGGCTCCTAACAGTGAGACATCAGGGAGCATGTGATGAGATGAATTTCATAAGCAAAACCTTGTGATCATTTTGTCGCCACTCCAGAGTGAAGATTTACCACCTTCCACAACTTCTAAAATATGACATGACTTAATATCCATGGTGATTCCACCCTCCTGGGAGAAGGACCACACTGTTCATAGTACCCATCACTGATGTGAAACTGAAAACTTGGAATAAAAGCTCATAACTAAATGTTTCAATTGGAGCCCAGAAATTCAATGAAAATAACCATACAGACACACACAACTAAATTTGTGAGCTGGTCCTAGAAAAAGTCCTATACACCCCATTGCTGAATACCATAAGGATCACCTTCAAAGTTTTTGCCTTGTGAAGGTATGAACGAACGCTAGAGCCTTGTCCACTTTTTAAAGCACTTCTTCAAGGATGAGTTCTTGAACTTAATTGTCAGACCTCCCACAAGGACACTTCTGATGGCCATGCTAGAAAATGAGTCCCAGGATTGCTTTGGAGGGTAGATGAGGTGCTGGCATCTGTGCATGGCTTTCCAAGGGGAGTTCTTCAAAGGTGACCATGGTAATATTCAGAATGAGGTATGTAGCACTTACTGTAGAGGAGTTCATCAACTTAATTGTCCAACCTCATGCAAGAAAGGGGTAACTCAGTTGAAGTCATATAAATTTGAAATATAAAAATAATCTTTTAAAATATTCTAATCATATAATTTATACTCTGCCCCTGGGGTGTTCTTACAATATGACTCTAAAAATAAATAAAGGGTGGCATCTTTTTGAGAGAAAGATACAGGATCTAAGAAAAATGAAAACACTACTCAGTGGTTTAAACAAAAGGTTTTGGGAAATAGGCAGAATTCTCTACATGGTCCCCTAAGAAGTTTGTTCTTCAAGCT